ATTTTGGAACAAAGTGGCCAATTCAAAATGGCTTGCTTTGTTTTCAGGTATAACACCAACCTATCTGAAGTCACACAATGTGCTAATATTTTCCAAATTTTTTTGAACACTGATTTAAGTTTGGATCAGAATTTTTTTTTTTTTGTTAAAAATATCATAAAAAGAAAATTTCATGGTTTCCTGAAAGATATATTATAAATATTTCACTCATCATACTCGTAAAATGTAATTATATGATATCAAACAAGGAAATCATTCAATATCCTATATTTATCATCCATGACACTTCAACTTCATGCCGAGTTTGAATGAAGTTTCTAAAAAATAAAAATATTTCAATAACAGAAAATATATATAAGCATTGAGCTGCATTCTGTCGTCATTCATATCCAATATAAAAGCCAACTTATAAAAACAAATTAAACTTGAATCACAAACTACGTTCCTGCAATTTGTAATTGATGTTCATCACTAAATATAAACTGACACAAGTTGAGTCTACTGAGTTGTGTGCAATAGATACTGCATACATATAGTTATTTTGAAGGTTAAATAGACATATTAGCAAAAATATTGTTCTTAATACCTGGGTAGGTAAATAAGTTTAATTTGCCATTTCACAACAAATAAATGTACATGATATTTCAATATGTCAGTTGTTTTTAATTTATTAATCTATCTTTGTTTTAAGATTTAGAATTATTGGAAGCACGTTATCACTGCAACATTTAATCTTTTAATATATAAAAACAAACAAGCCACTCCTAAAGAAAGATCGTATTTGACTTGAAAACTTCAAGTAACAAACTCAATAACAACTATTCAGTAATATGTATATATACATATTGATATCAATGAAAAATAAGAAGCAATATTCACATTTCTGCAAAATTCATCCAAATCTTTTATTAAAATATTGCACATAACAATTAATTAAAGTCACAAAAGTAAAGCTGGAACATCTTAACTCACAAGTAGAATTAAATATGGTCAATACGGTTGCAGTGACATTTCTTCATACGACACATTCTTCTGTAGTTAACATTGTTTCTCCCTGGGAAACATTCCCCTACCTTACACTTAGGGGAAAACATACAAAAATCATCAGTACAGTAACAAGAATCTTGGTTCAAATGTGCCATGGATATTGTAATGTACGACTACGACAATCATATCCTGATGCTTTTCAGACTAATGCAGGTAGCTTCAAAATGTCACTTAAAAAGTGTCATCAAATCTTGGTAAGATAACAGTTCTAAGGCAGAATATTTGTACGGTCATAACATATCTTTACATAACACTGTTATAAAATAATTTCAGATTTTTAAATTTGTGCGAAAAAAATCAATTAATTTCTGAAAGGGAAGAAATGAAGAATTTTACAAAAGACAATACAATTCTAATTTCAATACTTGATATATAGACATTCAGTTGTTGGTTATATATATACCTACAGGAATACTTCAAAACAACATAGAAAATCGCGTTCTAAAACAACAAATTGGCACAAAACATACAGACTACACAAACAGCACTAACACAACAGAAACACTAAATTAAAAAAAGTGATAAAAGAAGAGATTAAGGTCCTACCTATGACATAGTGTAACAGATATCTGTGTAGTTATATCAGAATGACTATTTCCAAGGTTGTACACTGGATCAATGTAGGACAATGAAACCAGTGATTAATCTACATGTGAGTCATCAGTCTAGTACAGAATTTTGATGGGACTTTGGGGCCCATTCCTTTAAACATTTAAAAAGATGGTCTCATGAAAATAAATTGTAAACTGATCACTGTAAAAACAGTCAATTTGTATCTGTACAAAGTTCTATAACATTTTTTTTTCTAATCAAACAGTAGAAATTAACACAGTGGTAACTAATACCCAGCTTAATTACAAAACAAAGTATCACAAAGTTATGTACACAAACACTATCTTAACTATTTACAATGCTCCACCCTTTATCATTAGGTCCTTCAATAACAGATTATATTTATTATGTAATAACTTTTTAATGTGGTCCCATCAGGTTTTGATTCTCATGTACTTGTCCACATAAATGTGACTTTTTATGTTAAACAAACTCAAGGAAAAATATTCCTAAGTTCCACACATCCACAGATACCTAAGTTTGTTATCTATTCCACTGTTGAAATTAATCTACTGCAGGACTAAAAGTTGTTCATTTTCCTCTAATTTAACATGTTTAATGAAAAAAATCACCTTTATGTCAAAAAGAATGGACATTTTAGTTTAGACATTTGAACAAAAGTCTTGTATTTCACGTTATTTTAGGGCTTGATGTTTGCTATGTTTTCTTTCTGTCAAACATCAACAAAATTCATGGAACAGATTAAACTCTTACTGGGAAAAAAAAGAAATAATTTTATGATGCAACTTATGGCAACAAACATTTTTTTGATATCATTATCACATTTTTTCATATTGGTTTGAAAGTCAACTGATAATAAAAAACAAAAATACAAAAACACTGAAGATAAAGACTCTATTATGATATAATAATAAAAAATTCATAAAATGTTCTTATTCTCAAATTATATAATATTAAATAATCAAAAACAGACATGGCATTCTTTTAAAAAAAATGAATAAAAATGTGACACCGAATTATTTAACAACAGAAAACAGAATAAAAGTTGAAATCCTGGAACATAAAAGAAGTAGATGGCATGTCTAGAGAGTGAAACATACTGATTACATGACATCTCACAAGATGACGTATGGGTCTTTCCGAGGCTTTTACCTCCCATTATAACATCCCATTATCCGTTCAACAGCTCGGACTATGGATTACGTAAAACTAAATAATATAGGTACAATTTCTACATACATATATACAATGGTATTGCAGTTAAACTCAGTCTGATATACAGCTAAAACTCACACATAGGTTTCCCCATACATAACAAGTCTGCATTCCCAGAAAATTTAATGTATATATATATATATATTGGAATGCCGATTGATTCTGTAACTTTTTTCTCTATGTCTGCAAATGATAATTTAGAAATGGAACCAGAACACAGTAAGTAACTTATATTTAACTTTGTATAGTTTGGGACCATACCAGAGTATCAACTCAACCCAGATTACATGTTTGCATGGATAGGTGATTTCAATTTCCAAATAAATTTTACACACCACCTTTTTTTCCTTTTTAAACAAATCCTTCAGTCTGTGATCTGATACATAAAGTTGCAAGTTTTGATATTGAAAATGTACAAAGCCAGATGTTAACACCTACAGTTAATTGAGAGCGTAAAATAAAAATGACAAACTTTATATTCGAAATCAAATTCAAAAATAAAGTATTTTGAGTTGAGATTTTTTCCAAGTCAGTTGAGGTGACCCTTAATAAGGTTTTTTTTTGTCACATCACACTTTTAAATAAGAAAATTTCTGATTTCCTTATATGTGTATTTATTTATCGATGACATTTTTTGGCAAGCTTAGTAGCTGAGGATAACATGTCACTAAATGTTCCACTCATATCTTTAGTGAATGAGATCCCCTCTTATTTCCCATATCTTCATACACATTTAAAAACTAAAATATACACCTTTTTCTCTTAACAGTTAACAATTTCTTTTAAAAATTCATCTTTAAAACCACACTCATAATAAAAAGTCAAAATAGAGATCAAAGTTCAATGATTATCAAAGTGTCTTCAAAACAAATCTTAAAAAATGAATTTAAAACTTAAATCTGGTCACAGGATAACCAGAGGTATGTTCAGAGAGAAACATGTTCAGTCTTACCTGACAACCAGAGGTATGTTCAGAGAGAAACATGTTTAGTCTTACCTGACAGCCAGAGGTATGTTCAGAGAGAAACATGTTCCAACAACCAGAGGTAGTTCAGAGAGAAACATGTTTAGTCTTACCTGACAACCATGATGACAACCAGAGGTATGTTCAGAGAGAAACATGTTCAGTCTTACCTGACAACCAGAGGTATGTTCAGAGAGAAACATGTTTAGTCTTACCTGACAACCAGAGGTATGTTCAGAGAGAAACATGTTTAGTCTTACCAGATAACCAGAGGTATGTTCAGAGAGAAACATGTTTAGTCTTACCTGACAACCAGAGGTATGTTCAGAGAGAAACATGTTTAGTCTTACCTGACAACCAGAGGTATGTTCAGAGAGAAACAGGTTTAGTTTTATCCAACAACCAGAGGTATGTTCAGAGAGAAAGATGTTTAGTTTTATCCAACAACCAGAGGTATGTTCAGAGAGAAACAGGTTTAGTCTTACCTGACAACCAGAGGTATGTTCAGAGAGAAACATGTTTAGTCTTACCTGACAACCAGAGGTATGTTCAGAGAGAAACATGTTAAGTTTTATCCAACAACCAGAGGTATATTCAGAGAGAAACATGTTTAGTCTTACCTGACAACTAGAGGTATGTTCAGAGAGAAATATGTTTAGTCTTACCTGACAACCAGAGGTATGTTCAGAGAGAAACATGTTCAGTCTTACCTGACAGCCAGAGGTATGTTCAGAGAGAAACATGTTTAGTCTTACCTGACAACCAGAGGTATGTTCAGAGAGAAAGATGTTTAGTTTTATCCAACAACCAGAGGTATATTCAGAGAGAAACATGTTTAGTCTTACCTGACAACCAGAGGTATGTTCAGAGAGAATGTTTAGTCTTACCTGACAGCCAGAGGTATGTTCAGAGAGAAACATGTTCAGTCTTACCTGACAGCCAGAGGTATGTTCAGAGAGAAACATGTTCAGTCTTACCTGACAACCAGAGGTATGTTCAGAGAGAAACATGTTTAGTCTTACCTGACAACCAGAGGTATGTTCAGAGAGAAACATGTTCAGTCTTACCTGACAACCAGAGGTATGTTCAGAGAGAAACATGTTCAGTCTTACCTGACAACCAGAGGTATGTTCAGAGAGAAAGATGTTTAGTTTTATCCAACAACCAGAGGTATGTTCAGAGAGAAACATGTTTCGCCTTCACTGACAACCAGAGATATTTTCAGAGAGAAACATATTTAGCCTAACATATAAGCTATGTCTTGTAAGTCTAAATGAAAATATGTATTTTGTTTTATAATAAAACTTGTCCAATAACAGAACAAAAAAGTCAACATCATTAACAGAACAATTATTTGACTAAAGCATGATTTTATATGTTCAAAAACATAACCTTACTAGAAGTGACCAAATGCCAGAGTCTCGGTAACCAGGATTAAGGATTACAAATTACAAAGTCCTAAACATCATAACAACTTATCTATCAACCCTCAAAACTAATGTATTCACGAATGAAAACAAGAGTCTTGGTAACCTTGTTATCTAACCAGAATGACCTAAACAACCATGGCAAAGACATGGTTCAATTTTATCTAAGAGCTTACAAAAATTTAGTCATCTTCCATACAAAGCCATCAAGGATTTCTAAGAATTTCTTTCACATCTTCAATGAGGATTGCTTTGCAAACTACCGAATGAAGTGAACATTTGGTAAAATGCTGACAAATCCAATAAAACATTGACATGAAACTCAAACAATGGTGTCGTTTTACATATGTCTGGGTCACAGACCTAGGACGGATTCCTCACTGTTGCTTCTGTCTGGCAGCTTCTCTGTCTGCTACATCAATGGCGGCAATATTTTTACAGGCCGCCCACAGCTGGACCATGCTGATGAAGGTCTTCACAGCTGCTAGTGGTGCTGTTAGATAGAGAATCACCTGCCACAACCCCATGGAGAGGAAGCTGATTCCCACTACAATGATAAATTATACTTTCATTACATTTTGACAGGCTTTACCATAAAAATTAGTAATATCAAATTATAAAGGACCTTCGGCATCCATCAGCCAAAGAGAATATCGAGACACATCCACTTACACTAACTTTCTTGATTTTAGTTTATAACTTTGTATCTGTTTTATGTTATATGTATGTGATGTAATTTATGTAACATTTGTGTCTTCATAAAGGGGCAGATTGCCACATAAAATTGACAATTGACTTGTCCGTACTATTGTTACTACTTCATTGATCACAGATATAAACCCATTGGCATGGATACTGTTCACAAAATACCAAAATTAGTTAACCTCTGTACCTCGATATTACACTTGGAGTTCTTTAAATGTTTGCTCAATCCTTTGCCTTATGATGTTGATCATTAAAACAAGTGTGTACCAGAAAGAAAATTAAGAGTAAATTTAAATTGATCACTAAGAATTTCTGTTGCTAGCCATTGTTATTGTAACCCATGTAACATATAATATACTCTTTAGCCTTTGGGTGTATCACCATGATATAGAAGTATGGGCTTGTATGTCACTCATTGTAACTCTATTCTCTTGCCTGTGGGTGTATCAGCACAGCTCAATACTCCAGGGAAAAAAACCAAACAAGGCACACAAAGTACACAAATCAACTCCTGGACATGTATATTGATTTATATTGAGCCAGAGATTGCCCTTGGGATGTACATTCTCATTACAACATGACAAATGTTGATGGACAAAGAGTGAGACATCAACATTTAGACAGGGCTACAATGTACAATTAACTAGCAATGACAGCATTACACTTTACTAAACTTTATTGTAATGTCCAAAAAAGAAAGTCACTACAATGACTGCATGCTAAAGTTTACACAACAATTACTATCAAAGAGAGGTAACTCTTACTTGTGGGTCCAGGAGAGAAGTGTGTTAAATACAACATACAGAAGAACAGTTCATTAGCCGAGCACATCACAAACAGGATTTTCTGCAAGGCAAAAAAAAAAATCTTAAATGACATGATAATTGATGACCAGATTATCTTTCAGTTCTATCCTTTAATTAGAGGACAGCATTGTAATATATATATATATAAGTATAAGCTTTACCATTACATTGAAATATCACCATGCATACAGCTATCGCAAGGTCAAAATGTGTCAGGGGAAAAGACATTTATTAAAAATGCTGGCACCAACTGAAAGCTCCTGATTTTACATCTAAGTGATTTTCTAATGTCATACATATCCATGAAATACTGTGGGTAGCAGGCTAAAGAACCTATTGCCAAATCTGGGTCCTTGATATATATATATTGTGTTTGTATGTTTTGAATGCACTGTCAACACACAAGCTGAGTGTAAACATACCCGGTTATGATAGTAATGCCTCAACAGTGGGTTTGCTGACAGGTCAAGAACCTTGTGGCTACCGGCACCCTTCATCAGTGTGCTGGAAACAAAATTTCATCAATCAATATTGAATACTAGCAATTCTGATTCATTATAGAAAACTTCACTTGTTTGGCAGTTTTCATCCTCATCCAGGATAACATGAAGAGCATCTCAACAAATGATGTGGTCATTACAGGCAATGTCATAGTGCCTTCACATCGAAAAGTTTTTTTACCAAACATATCATTCAAGGACAGTTACAATGTATCTTATCCACATGGTACAATGAAGTATTTTCTATTGTATACCCAAAGAGGTAGAGCCGACATTAACACTTTAATACCAGAGAAGAACAAAAGAACACACAGGCAATGATATGAGACTTTGTTTCAAGTTTCTTCCCATTTCAAATTGTACTGCATAGCTTCTACCTCTGTGGGTGAATCCTACATACCCATGAAGGTGGAATCAGTGACCTAGTTTCATGTACAAATGGATCCTATGTATCCCTGAAGGTGGAACCACTGACTAGTAAGATGTACAAATGGATCCTATGTACCCCTGAAGGTGGAACCACTGACTAGTAAGATGTACAAATGGATCCTACATACCCCTGAAGGTGGTACTTGTGCCTAGTAAGATGTACAAATGGGTCCAATGTATCCCTGAAGGTGGAACCACTGACTGGTATGATGTACAGATGGATCCTATATACCCCTGAAGGTGGAATCAGTGACAAGTAAGATGTACAAATGGATCCTATATAACCCTGAAGGTGGAATCAGTGATCTAGTTCTATGTACAAATAGATCCTACAAACCCCTGAAGGTGGAACCAGCAACTAGTAAGATGTACAAATGGATGGAACCATAGATGGAACCAGTGACCAGTACTTTACCAACAGATGCTACCACTGTTGCAGAACTAGTGACAAGATAGTAATGTGTATCTTTGAAGGTGAATCCTGTCACAAGCGATGTGCATACAAAACAGACCCTACCTTTGAAGATGGAACCAGTGACTAGTGATGTCCAGTGCCATGTAGAACTGGAAGAACATGAGATAATCAGGGTAGAAGTAGCATAGTGCCCCACACAGACACATCGTTGCACATCGGTCAATTAACTGGTCCAGCAATGCCCCCAGCTTACTAGCTGTAACAAATAATTTATAAAACCACTGTCATGTTTGTCCATATTTTGCTTTGCAATAAAACAATACAGATATGTCTACAATAAAAGCCATAAGAGACATGTTGACAACACTTTACTAAAATTCTCAAGGTATATGTGTTGACTTACATTGGTTCAGCATCCGTGCAAGATGACCATCAATAGCATCAAGGAAGCCACTGAGTAAGTACCAGAAAGAGGCTCTCCATGGGTCAAAGGGCATGTAGTAAAAGGACACAAAAGCTGTGATCACTCGCAAGTAATCTGTGGACAACAGACATTCACAATTTAGTATGCATCTTCAATATTTCTAAAATAAAACCTATTAAAAAAGAAATTTTCCAAATAAATTTACTTCTTTCATCATATTTAAAACTTTATGAAGTTGAAATTTGCTTATCAACCATTATGAATAGAACATAATTATCAACATTTTCCCAAAATTGAATCTGCCACATCAAACCTTATTTGTAGGATAGAGCTGTTAGACTATTATCTAACATTACGTAAATAGCCTTCAGACATACACATGTTTACACTTGTGTAGTTACACAATTGTTCGCAAGATAAGATAATATAACAATGAATGGTTCAAGTATTGTAGCCCAAAGCAAAAGAAGATTTAGCCTTCACTAGCTGTATATCATAAAGAAATAACACCAATTTGATTACCTGCTCAAAAACAGTACATATCAGTTGGATGTGTATTACTATTATTTGAACTGATATATAAGCAGGAGTGCTAGATGGAAAGTAATTCACTGTAAGAACAACAGGATTTGTCAAATTTTCAAGGCAATGCACCTCCTTGTCAAGACAGAAACACAATATAACAGAATCACATTATGAACTGATAATGGAATGAGGAGAAAACCACTGGGGCAATTCGCCCCTCCCAAGCCTTAGTCAAAAACACAACAAAAATGAAACTGGTAAATAAAACATAGAATATGGCAAAACATTGGTCCTCCAAATAACTCTAATCATACAATCATGAAATGCAGTCTATAATTGGTCAGCAGAAAGCTTGTTTAACCACTTTACAAGTATGTTAAAAGCTAGTTAACACCCAATTTAAGGTATAACATAGTATTTAGCTAAGTTGGATATCATATATAGTAGTTTTCACATCAAATTGGTTACACCAGTACACATTAATGAGAATAATATTCCTGTAGTTTATTTATTGTGCAGGCCACTATAACTTGCACATAAAATAACTGATGAGCACACGTGCATTGGCTACATATAAAGCCTGTCATCAGACAAGCTGATTATATCTGCTAATAAATCGATATGCTTCGAATTCACGGTCGCGAATGAACCTGGCTAAGGATGCCATGCCAGCCACTTGAGTCACTGGATTGAATCATAAAAGTATGTCTCATAACAAATGCTTTTATGACAAATGCCGATAGCAAGAATTTAAAAGAATATTTTTTACTTACCAATAATGTTAGGGACAAACAAAAACACGTTTTCCGTCATGTCGATTTCTTAATGTACACAAGAGCATACGACCGCACATGAACCTTGGCTTGCAGACGCAGATCTACCAAGCATCACCTGAACGCTTGTAATAAACACTGATAATACCACCGCATGTCAAACACAGTAGTGATTGAGCTAAAACTATGCGGATCGCATTATGTCTGAAAGAATCTGCTACGGATCGTACATGAGTCATAAGAGTTGTACACACACACGTCCTCGCGGACACGTGTCTGTCTGATGAAATGACTTTACAAACATACAAACTTGTAGGAATATCTACAATATTAGTCATAACTTTTCTTATCCAAAGTTACAAAAAAATCGTAAGGTAACAACGGAGAAAAGTGTAATTTAAATCATTTTAAAATGGAATTTAAAAAGAAAATATTAGAAATGTTTATTGTATAGTTCTTTAATAATTGTGCGTAAGTTCCTGTCAAAGTATTAAATCTGCAAACCTAGCTCGTCCACATTTAACCATTCGATTTATTTATGATCTTCTAGAGATGGGGATACTCTTCCTTGACAGCGTGATTAATTATAAAATAATTATTCCCTTTGAATTCCTGACAATCTACCAGTGGGCAGGTAAATATTTTTGTGGTCTAGTTTATCGAAAGATAAGTTAAATTAATTTTTAAAATCTGACAATCGTTAAATTGTTACTTAATACAGAGACGTATATATATGCTTAATATTAACACGGGCTGAGATTTAAATCTAGAAAAAAGTTAACCAGCTCGCATCAGTGACGGCCTGTCTCACAGTTACAGAAACAGACATCTATATCTGCATCAAATTACACCATGAAATGACCCTTCCTTCAACGGACACTTGTCCAATGGAATACATTCTACCCTCCGGCTATTGTAGACAGTCTTTTTTGTAAATATGAATGAATCGGCTGACTCCAGCTTTTGTTTACAACTCTCTTCAACTAATACGCTAAATTGTGAGTTTGTACAACCTTTATATCAAATCTAAATATATATATACACAGACCGCGCTTAGAAGTTCGTGATATGTAACATCTTCTCTCTCTCTCTCTCTCTCTCTCTCTTTTGACTGCGTCCCCCAAACATACATTCCAGAAGAAGAAGAGGTGGAGGATGAAGAGGATGAGGAGGCTTTGTTGACACACCGAATAGATATATAACTTATTCAAAACTTTTTCGTGATAGGCCTAAGGTAAAAACTCCTCGGTCAGTCTGTCTGCTATCAGCACAACCCTTCCCCCTTCCTGGTCTCAAGTCTCAATTAACTGTGCACTAAATCGTGCCCCATTACTATCTTCAAGCCTCCGGGCCCCACAATAAATTGTATACATGACCTACATGATTAAGGAGACACAATAGCATAACATTAATTGCATATCTTCTTCGAAACACCGTAGAGTGTTCGACAAAATATGCCAAGCCTATTTCATCGTTACCATAATATATATCTTATAGAATGTCATTTAATTATTTCGCATTTAAGTTGTGCACAGAACTTTGATAACGATATCTAATCAACGTTGAAGTATTCTCATACCGCTTCCGCATACTTTATGTTTTCGAATTCAAGTCTCGTGTTCTGATATGATCTCGCTCAGGACGAGATCTCTTCTTAGAGACGAAAATTCAGGTGAATATTTTCAAGATGGCCTCACGTTAAAATGGATAGAGACGCCGAAAATGTAGCAGAGAACAGGAAGTATTGTTTTTTACTGGGCTCTGCTATAAGAAACGAGGACCCCAATCAATTTTTTGACATTTACGACGCAATTATTCCCAAGGATCTTCCTGTCAGTCAGGTGCGGAGGATCGAAACACGTTTGTTTTGAATATTTTCCTAACATTTCTGCTGTTTTCCGTGCTTGTATTAAGAAAGCTACTCTCTGTAACTTAATTCGTGTAGAAAAATGATTATTTGCTCTTATGAATTGTTTGCATTGTCTTATCTGCACAGTCACTGCCTGAAAACAAGCATGACCAAGTTTTACCAAAATAAAAATGACAGCTCTGTCGTTTTATAGTTGTAGTGGTTGTCTCCCTTGTATCACGTTCTAAACATATTGCGTGGGTTTGACTTGACCCGTGTGATTTGCATTACTAAATATTCATGATCTAGTGGTCGTCTGATGGTAGTGTCGCTTGTCCTTTATGACGTGTCTGCCTCGGCAAGGTTTTGAAAGCATTTGAAAACGTTTCCCAAAGGACCAACGAAAATGACCCCGATGCTATTTTTGTCGTGAGAATGACTGTCACATTCGAGTGGTGTTCTCTGTAGGACGGGCAGGTAGGCGGCAGTGTATCCAACATGTCTGCACCCATGTTGCCCTGCTCAAATATGGAGGAGTCGTGTTTCATAGTGTTTTACAACTAGTAACCTCTAAAACGAAAGTTAAAAAGTAATACTTCCCATTTTTGGTGCATATTAATGTTGTTACCCGTGTTTAGAAAAGTTGGCTTGTCTACATGATCGAGTTTCATTACTTTGACCAAGTTGTACAGGTAAATAATGGCCTGGTGACCCTGTTCTGACACCTCTCGCCTATCACTCACACTTTGCTAACCGTGTGGTCAATCAAGATGTTCTCCAAGCAAATGTTACAATACTTATTATTTAGTTAGTCTTTTAGTAATTTGTGTATCATACTCTGCATTAAACAGGTCAAACAGGAATTGAAGAAAGTGTATTCTCACTATCCTTGTAGAACTTGCTCTAAACTAACAGCTGAGAATTTACCCGTTTTGCTGATTACATGACATACAAAGATATCATAACCTTTTATTTGACTGAAAATGTTATTTGCAAACTCAAATTTGTAACATGAATTTTGTTTATGTCCTGTGTCCTGTTCTAGAAGTGATATTGGCTCATTATCAGAATTCTGTGGGCGATAGTAATATCTAATTTTGACGACATATAAATAGGTACATATTTTGAAATAAGATTTTCCTTAAAACCAACTTTTATATGGATTCAAATTCGTTCATCCTTAATTGCATACAGATCTGATGTAACAAGTGTGCATAGTTAAATTCAGCTTTTGGTAGATGAATTAGGGTAAAGTTAGTTTTAATTTTGGCTGTTAACCAATATATCTAGAATTTGCATGAAAGAAAGAAAATGTAGGTTCCAGAGAGGATTTGACAGTGATGAACATTTCCTTTAGGTTTGTATTTCTTTGAGATTTGTCACTGATAAAGCTTGTCGAGTTGTAAGTGATAGATAAGGTTTGCTAACCTTAACAGAATATTCATTTTTTATTCACATGTTTAGATGTGCAAGATTTCTTGATACAGAATATCAATGTATATACAAACCTGTATGTGTTAAACACTATATCCTCATTAAGTGTCTATTGCCTTGATATAATCTCCATATTCACAGGATACCTGATCACTACCATTTGGTTGCTGGTCAAAATTCACCAAAATATGAATGTGACTGCTTTTAAATTTCCAAACCAATATGTATGTTTGCTAGTACAATGTGATTGAAAGACAGATTATCATTATACACTTTAGTATGAAGATCTGACAGTGACCAGTTTTAGGTTAGGTTCACATGAATCAATGTTTACAATAAAATAAAATTACTTAGCTAGTCAAAACTTTTCTCTCACATACCTTTTTGGCAGCATGTGCAAATTGGATAAAAATGCAAAATAATATGGAACAGACTATAGAAGCAGTGTTACTTCGTTCTTGTGAGATAGATAGATAAAAAAAATTGAGAATCTACGGATAGCATTTGATCATCCATTAGGTACACCCCTTTTGTTATGAGGCAGTTTGTGGTAGGCGCAGCTATATTGGAATTGTTGAGGATTTGGGACACTCTGGTTATTACCTATGTGATAAGAACCAACCATGGCATGAAATATGCCAGAGAAAAGCAGACTATAGCACAATTTTGTCAATCACATTTTGATGGTTGGTTTAAAGGTCACCTGAAGATGACCCCTTACCATCCACCACCAGATCTTTATAATGTAGTGATGATCTGCATTGTAATCAGACTGTTGTAAGCATTGCTTCATGACAGTGGAAGGACTTCATATTCAAGCCAAATTTACTTCCAAAAAGTGGCAGATAAGATTCCCCAATTTTAGTGCTGAATCTACCAAAACCTGCAAAAATCTCTTTGCCAGTTATAACAGAGGTATATTTGTATCACATTCAAATTTTTGTTAAAGATATGTTTTTTCTGAGGTCCAACAAGATTATACAAAGGACAGCTTGCTTATAGCTACATCCAGTCATTACATAGATCACATTTTCCTGCAGAACTTTCACTCTATATTAATTTGATAGGTAAAACATTTCCATCTTTAAGTCAAAGTTTGAATAACATGATCTTTGATTTAACCAGCATGCATGCAAGAGACAAACCAGTGCACAGTGTAGTTGTTAGATGTGATGAGCAAGATTTGACACAAAAATATGTAAATGTTGTATTTGGTTATAATTACACAAATACTACAACATACTTTGATCATTAGTGATACGTAAATTAGTGTGTTTACAATTGGAGAACATTTTTCCACATCTAAAGTTGGTATTTGTGATTATTTTAATAGATAGACAGTTAACTATAGGTTGTAACAGATTTACAATTCAAATGTGAACACCTGTATTTTATGATATCACATGTACAACAACTGTGATTGAAGAATTTTGAACAGGTAATCTGTTACTTATCACTATTGGTATTGGTTTTATCATTTGTTATATATGGCAACAGGTGCGATATAAATATGATACTGGCGTATACATGACAGATATGTATATTTGAGAAATCCAGCATGATGCCCTGTACTCAACTCTTTGTCAAACGTCTTCTAGATATTAAGCATTTATAAGCAGGTACCAACAGCTTGAATATAAAGAATATATCTTAGTTTAGAAATATTTACACAATGGTCAAAGTTGAGAGTATGTCTCACAGAAATGTTAGAAAGGAAAAAAGCTACAACTCTGATAAATTAAAGAAGAAATAATGAACGTTTGACAGACATGCCACCAATACTTAATGGTTTTGCTTAAATGTTGAAATTATTCTTAGAAGAAACTAGCATTTCAATTTGTTTGAGAAATATTCAACCAGAAAAATTAATTATCAAATAATTAGAATTTGTTAACCTGTTGGTTGTTTTATTCTGACCATTTGTTGTTGCATATAAAGTTTGTTAACTGAGGGTAATTTTGTGTCAGGAGATGAAGTTTGCTAACTGAGGGTAATTTTGTTTCAGGAGATGAAGTTTGTTAACTGAGGGTAATTTTGTGTTTGGAGATGAAGTTTGTTAACTGAGGGTAATTTTGTGTTTGGATGTTAAGAACTTCCGGAGTAAACTATCTGACTGAAGTGGTATATTGTGTAGTATTGGATTTTGATATAAAACATTGCTTTTTGTTGCGCTCTTGGTATGATTTCAATTTTCTAGTATTTCTGATATTTAGATGAAGAGTTTCTGAAAGACAGGTTGGTAAAATATGACTTGCGCTGTATAACTCGGGTTTCTATTCTTACATTTGTATTTACAGATTGAATGCATAAAGGACAAAGCAAGAGAAATAGCTGAGCTTCCAGAAGAGGAATTCAATCAGCTGTTTCTCAACGCCAGGGATTATAGCTTGGCCCCAGAGCGCAAAATGACCCACACCAACCGTGGAGGGTTTGGGGAAGGGTCAGCCAGGGCCAGGCGTGGGGAAGACCTGAGTAGTGAAGACGACGATGAGTTTGAACTGAATGACAAATTCTCTGGTATCGTACCACCAAGTGTAGCTTTCAACAACTGTCTCAAAGACCACTGTGGGGAAGACATAGATTTGTATGGGAAACGCACAGATAATGACTCGGGAATTTACAACTCTAGCAAAGCCACTACTAGTATTGGTAGCTATTCTGATCAAGAATATGAAAGTGAAGGAGAAGAAAGACATGGTACATTTGATTATTTTCCCCCACAGCAGGCAACAGTGAAGGTACACAAGCCACGTGTTGGATGTTCATTAGACTATGATGAGGCGCATGAGGTGGAGGATTCTGATAAGGATTCACCTCGTTATGATGGTTCTAATGATTCACCCAGATATGACCACAGTCTGAATAAGATTGACGACTCTGACTTTGGCACAGAGATGAAAACATTCCGGACAGTTCGATCTGAAAGTGATGATTTCATGACTGATGATGACAGTGATAATGAAAAATTTACTCCCCACAGAAAACTGTATCAAAGGAAATGTGCTGCAGGTCGCAACAAAGTTGGTGGAAATTATTATACACCAATGACAAGGGAAAGCAAAGAAGAGTATGGCTCTTTCTCCACTTCCACATTTTCATTTGACCGGAGTAAGAAAGCCCTCCATAACACAACTGCCTCTTCCCTCAGAACCAGTGGTGTTGATGAAAATATTAACTTTCCACTGACAAGTACATGCCCCAAATCATATGGCAGCACTAGTAGTCATGGGGTAAAAGTAGAGACAACTTATTCCCGTTACCACAAACCAAAAGACCTTGCCGATCGTGGCCCACCCTTTGGCCAAGGTCAGGACCAACTTGGTAAGGTTGGCAGTTCAATCAGCACACTGATATCCAATTCCCAGAGTGCTCACATTTCTAACCTTCCAGAGGGGAGACCGATTCTTCCACCAGGACCTGATCTGGGTGTTGACAATGGCAAGAAACGCAAGAAGAAGAAGAAGGGATCTAAAGGTGAGTTCTGGTATTTATTTAGTGATATGATGCATAACCTGAAAAGTTTGAATGGATTATAATTCTATTTTATCTATAATAGAGCTTGAATGCTTTCTGGTATATAGTGTAAAGCATTGGTTTGAGAAGTTTTTTTATTGCAGTTTGAATTTTATAAAATTTGTTTATACACACACACGCACATATATATAAATAGATATATATCTGTGTGTGTGTTTGTGTGTTTGTGTGTGTGTGTGTGTGCGTGTGCGTGTGTGTGTGCCGTGTGCCGTGTGCGTGTGCCGTGTGCGTGGAAAAACAATAAAATTGGAAACACCTCTGATTAGTGATATATAAGCACACTTATATCGGATCTTCAGACAATTAGTTTTACTACATCAAAAGGCCTACATGGTTTGTCCGCATGAAAACACAATATATATAAACGTAAAAGAATCAACAAGGCTAATAAATATATTGTATTTTCTGTTATGATTATTATGTTACTGACTTGGTAAATGAGTGGACAGGAGATTGATGACCATTGTTGGAAGTGCTAGCTAAATACCTTCTTACTAGCAATGCACATTTATACAAATCCTTTTTGGCATTGCTTTAGCTGGCGGAAAATTTTCCTGAGAAGACCTACCAAGATGAAGTTTTATTTCATGTTTTCCAAAATTTTGTGATGACATTCAAGAGATCTGTACATACATTGAAACCTAGCTATTAAGACCACTTTAGGGAGTGAACAAAAGTGGTGTTAAAACTAGGTTATCTTAATAGTGAGGATAACCAGATTGGTACACCAAGAACTGAAACTCTGGTTAGATTGAAGACTGTAAATATCATTATTTAATGTATATTATTCAATAACATTGATTTAAAGTTTGCTAAACAGATATAAAATGTTTAAATTCATGAAATCTGTTGAAGCCTTTCCTACATGAATTCATTAAGTTCTTCTAATGGTGAGCTAACAGTCACTTTCTGTCATTTCCATTGTTTATCTCATAGCTCTCTAAAAGGTCAGCCTTCCGTTTCAAGATGGTTTGAACACGAGTTTTACCAATACAAAACTGTATTTTTAATTTTTATGGAAAGATCTTTGGATCTGAACAAGTTTTTGGGTTAATCAGATGTCTAAAATTTAACGGCAATCTTGAAAACATAACTTTCATTTTAGTCCTACTGATGTTTGTAAGAACATTGACTGCATTTGGATTCCCCCTTCATTATTTCTTTATAGATATGTATGTTTAACCCCAATACATGACACTTATCAGACTTTTGTTTCTGCTGAATCAGCAGTTTAAAAATAAAGTGTGCCCCAATCAAATGTACCTAGATGATGTTGACATTCTACTGTACATAGCCTACAGAGAAAGCAACTTCCTTTCAGTACTCAAAGGGGATAGTGTGTAACAGTACTACAAAAGTTATCTGAAAAAGGAGTCACCTGCCCGACCATGTAGATTTCTCTAGGGTTCTCTACTTTAATTTCCTATTACAGAAAGACCCCATATATACTTACATTAAGACCAGCTAGAATGATCAGTATAAATTGAAATAGCGTGTTTTGCAATTATTATAAAATGTACACATATATGTTTGCACAATGTTTACAATGGTATTTTTTATACTAATTTCTCTTTATGTTTACATCTTTTTAACAATGCTTTTATGCAAAGATCAATTGCCTGTTGGCTAATTCAGTCTTTTTTAGAATTTAAGTGCATGTACAATGCAAAGTTGAATTTTTCCCTGTAGAATGGAATCAAAAGTGCAAACAATTTTCAGTCTTTTTGTTTTAGCCAGTTTCTATCTTTGTTGTATTCTAATTGAACTTTTCTCAGACTTTCTGTTGTAAATGATGTACTTTCATTAAACATAACTGGAAGGTTTTGATTACCATGGTTTAGAGGTCTCAAATCCATTTGTTTAAAGATAATTTATAATACATGCTCACTATTGAAACAAGATTGTGACAGATACACAATCAAGGAATCAATAGTTTTTCCTGCTTGAATTTAATTGATGTCAAGGAGCAAGAATTAAGTACACTTCTTGATCATCCATCAAGCAATTTGTATGGCTGTAACTACTGGCTATATATAGTTATCCTGTGTTTGTTTAGTGTACATTACAACATTAAATAGCCTCTATTGAAGTCAGGACTGATGTAAATACATATATCCAGGCTTGGTTTCTCTTTTGTTTGTGCAATGATAATGTAAATCTCTTATTTCAGGTGATATGTCAATCAGCCCATGTTCTAAAATTCTGAAAATTATCCTTCAGTGTGTTCATGTTTCAGGGCTGTCAAAGTCTCCTCTGCCATTTGATATGGGAGCATATGTTGTGATAAAATTGTTATATTACTCATGACTGACTAGTCCCAAATCAATGTTTCCTTTGTAGTGACTTCATTTTGATCAAAGGTCAACTATGATAATGTCTTGGATGTGTTTATGTTTCAAGGTTAAAAGGCCAAGGTTACCTTTATTATTATGGAAAATCATTAACCAATTTAGTGATATTACTTGAGTGATTGTATTTCTTAGAAGACTTTACACAAAGATATTGCAATATTATGAGAATCCTTAATTCATGTCCTGTTTCAAGGTCATTTGTTACTACAGTGGAACCCACTTAATGTCACATCTGTTAATGTCACTTTCTGGTTAATATCACATTTTCTCGAAACACAGATTTTCCCCCCAATATATTCTATGTAATCCAACATCTGATAATGTCACTTATTTTCATGTGGACAATGCTTAATATCACTTCATTTTGCTCACTATTGCAAAAATTAAAAAAAAAAAATATAAGAAAAACACAGGTTAATCACATGTAAGGATTTATGGATTCATGCCCGAAGGGACATACATCACACCTGGAAGCATTATGTAAACATCCTCACTGCCCTACTGGCCAACTTTTTACACCTTGCGGCTCCCAAACATAAGATTGACCTTCTTGCCTGTAAGGTCCAGCTAGGTCGAAGGAAGTCTAGTGCATTTGTTTTCTTCATTGGCTAGTGCATTCCAAGTGTTAAAATGGGTTTAAAACCCTTTTCACTTGGAACTTGTCACAGTGCAACCAGTGTTGGAGTGGGCGCCATGTCGCTAAGTGTAACATGTATGATATACTGTTTGGTGATGTATCAAACTATGCCATTTAAGGCCTAGGGGGAAATAACTCCATTTCAGATATTTCGTTTTTGTTTTATATTTGTTTTCTTAGTTTCTACCTGATTCAAGACAAGTGGGTCCTCTTTAGGTTTTTATGTTGAGTTAATAGAGAAGTATAAAATGGCTAAAATATGGTTCATGCTTTTGACATCTTTGCTTCACAGTCAAGCAATCCCCCTACACACAACAAGGTGACAGTAAAATGTTCTGAAACTGGGGTTTCCCTGTGTTTCATGACATTTGATTGGCCATTAAAAATAACCACTAATTTAACAGCCAATGAAATGTGGTGTTTTAGAGGTGAACAGTTCTCACTCTGTTGGTTATTGTTGTGGGCAAGGATCAAGTTGTGATCTTTAGAACACATTTTATCAAAGTTACATATTTACACACTATATATACCAACTGTTCGTTGATACACCATAAGGAGCCTATACAGTAATGAATGAAGAAATTATATGGCAAAATATCAGCTGTGGATACGGTAGTGTCAAGTACGAATCTGACCACCTGTTAACTAAATATGACATGAATTGTCATGATCATTCACAATAATTTATCATTATAGTTTAGATATTTCAAAGAATAAAAAAATGAAGGAAAATCACAGTTCTTATGGGAAAACAAATCAAATAACAAATTTCTTGTCTTCAAAAAATTCTGTTCAAAACATGTCAGCTTAGCACATCTGAAAATTAACTTCCAGGTTTAGGCATCTGGAAAAACATGTCAACTGTTGATGTCACATTCTGCTTATTATCACATTTCCCCAGACAAATACGATGACATGAAGTGGGTTCTAATGTATTTCTGGAAACTTCAATAGTTGTTACATTCATTAGAGCAAAGCACACTATTTTGCTTTTATGTATTATTGGCATACACCCCAGACCAGAGTTGACATCAAATTAATGTCACTAAATGTGTAATGACAGAGTTCTGGGGTAATTTGCTGTCATAAGCCCATACTGAAAAGACTTGAAATTGGGTGAAATGTCACTAAAATATTAGACAAGGTTTCAGGGTAAGGCACCATCATAGGACTACAGTAAGACTTGATATCAAAGGGACGTTACAAGATGGAATGACAATGTATGGATTACTACACATGTGTATATCTACCTTCTTTCTACATGTGTATAGATATTACTTCCTGTTCAGATCCAAAACAGGAAGTCTGTATTTCTGGTCTGTTTGTATGTGGTTGTTGTTTGTCCCTGTAGCTCTCTATAAACGTTTTGTTACCATAGATATAGTAGAAAATGTTCCCTTCCTTTAGCCAGTTATAAAATCAGTTTGTAGGCAGAGTTACATTACTGGAGGAGTATAACTATGTGGTAACTCTTGGAGAATGTGGGCAGATGTAGACCTTGATGGAGGTGTGTATTTCTAGCCAGTATGTTGGAGTGTTGACAATTATCCAAATACATGTCTGTGGTAGGACTGCTTCTTCATCTTCATCTGATAGAGAGAAATAAAGTTGGTGTCCAAATTTTTATCATGAAGAAAGAAAAATTGACTTAGATGTGTGTTGACAAAATTGGCTAAAGATGATTGAATTGCCTCCCTTGGTTTGAAAATCTTAAAGCAGTGAAAAAACATGTTTACTACCAGAATGATTGTTGTGTGAAATCATTACTGGTAAGCAAACACTTTGTATATCTGTTTAATTGATACCACAATACAAAACTGAACCATCCCTTTAAAACTCAGATTACAATATAACTTCTTTTATTGAACTTTGACCTTGATATATGTCTTGATAATTGACACAGAAAAAGATGGATGTTGACATTTCAAATTTTCTCTTGCATCAGATATCTT